TCAGCTACCATGAGATAAGGTAAGATGCGAAGTTGTCACCAATTATTCGTTTTTATTGTACCACTATGTTTATCAATACAACATACATCGATCTAACGATTTGTTTAATTGTCTATTTTTACGTATATATGTTTAATGTCAGTTTAAGAATGCAAATTTTGTTGATGGACTTTTTAAGAAAATTTACTGAATATATATCAAAAACCCTAAAATTATATATCAAAATGTCATTGTTTCCATACAAAATTAACAATCATATCTGATATTTCTTCATTATAAGAAAAAATATTTAATTTAAACTGAAAGGGTTAATCTATAGGAAATAGTAAATAAAAATACTCTCACATCTGTACAGGTTCATCCATGTTCTGCACAAGACAGGTTACATTACTGGGTCCTTGTTGGGATTAGCTTGTAAATTTTGAGATTTGGCCGTATAAACCAAAGTTCAGAGATCACAAATCTCATAACAGTCCATATCACGAAAACGTGTGCTTTAGATGCAGCCGAGCGCAATGAACATTTTCAATGACTTGTGGAACCATCCTCTCAAAAACACACATTTAAAGTTGATGTTTAAAATAAAAGATGAAAGATAATGAAAACAAATATCAAAACTTTTATGAACTCCCCATTTCTAAATCCACTGGATATTACTTTTATACGTCATTAATCATTCAGTAGACAACTTTTCACTCACCCTTAATGTACTATTAATTAAGGTGACTACTTTTTAATAAAATTTTTGCTGTAAGTTTTTATTTAAATGAATTTTTAAAGTTTACCGTATAGGTACATGGTAACCATCAATCTATTTTTGTATTGAACTATTCTTAAAAGAGGATGGAATCGAACTATTTAAAAATAAAATTTGTGGCTTTACCATTTAAAATTGCTGTCTTAGATATTGTATTTCCTTTCAAATCGAAAGTTTTCTACAAACCACTGAGCATATTGTTATACAACTTAACACCCGCGACCTCTCAAATCTGGCCCCTGCGTTTAGTTTCATTAACGGCAAAATCATGCGATATTATTCCATCGCCTAATTGCCACCAAGCGGGACATCAATGGCAGAAGTCCCGTTTGGCCTTAGTGGCTCTCAACTTTATAACCGGAACTGTTTCAATTTTATCTTGACTACTGAAAAAACCACATACGTTCGGTTTAATATTTTTTATATAATAATTAACTTATATTGGTATTTTTCAAACATCAGAACTTATCAATCCAAGCCCATTAGACATTTGCGGTGAATTTGGAACCTTTTATTTAAGAATATTTGAAAAGAGATCGCGTTTTTATTGACCAAAGTTTAAAGTACTGTAGAATTCTTGGCAGAAAGTAACGCTTTAATGGAATCATTTCTAATATATCAACCGGTAACCGTTCTTTTAAGATCTTTGCTCCCAATAAAAAATGAGAGCACTTTAAAAATGAAAGCAGTTTGAATTAGGTAACTGTATATGGGTCATTCTTTTACGACTCGGACACCTTTTTGACCTCATGATCTCCGATTTGGCTGAAATTTTATGAGCTTCTTTCATAAAATAAGAAGACCCATATCTCGGGAAAAAATTTTGTGTATTTTTTCCTAGGAGATATGGACCCATGGGGTTTTGAGAAATGGCATAGTAAGCACATTTTCAAATGGCTATATATCAAGTTGTATAAAAGGTAGAAACTTGAAATGTACAGCGTTTCAAAGAATATTGATTGAACTTTTATGAAATTGGTTAAACAATTAAAATTGTTAATATTTAAGTACTAATATTAACCGTTAAATTTCAAAAAAAAATTTTTCTCAAAACTAGTCTTTAAATTTTCATTTTTTATATTTTGTTTATATTCAGTTTTAAATTTTAATACGAAATAAAAATTTTCAGGAACCCATTATTTTTTAAAATATTTTAATATTTTTTTTTTCTCCCACAAAACACATCAAGCACATGCGTACTACATTTCCATTGAATGAATTTTCAAAGAATATCTTACATATATTCTTATATAATATTTTTGATTTCGATTAGTAATAAAATTCTTCATAAAACCCAAAAACTTCAGGACGATATTGTAATTAGAAGTACTTTTAAAAATGTATTTATCCTTCATATCACACCAAACACATACACGCGATTTTTCAGTAAAAAAAAAAAAAAGGAATATGTCACATAAATTTTTTTTTTTACTATTGATTCAAATTAATATATAAATTCTTCTTCAAAAATAAATATTTCCACTGTGATATTCCTTTCAGAAGTAATTAAAAAAAATTAATTAATCAGGTGTCCTCCACGTTACTCATACGCACTGTAGTGCCATATAATCAATTTTCGAAGAAAAACTATACAAAAATGTTTACTTTTTATTTCTAAAATAAATGTATACATAAAACATAACATTTTAAATTAGTTCCGCATCATTTCTGTTTTTAAATTTTAAATTTTAACATAGTTAAACCTTTTAATAAACTTTTTTCTTATATAGATGAATTAAAAAGTTAATTAGTTTCATACTCACCGAATTACCTAGAAAACTACAGCACATAATCACACCTACATTTTTCGGTGAAGGTAGGTCTTCTTATTTCTTCTTATTTTCTTCTTCTTTTTTTATGAAAGGAGCTCATAAGAAAAACTTCAGCCAAATCGGAGATCATGAGGTCATTTTTTACCAAAATCCGTCCGGTTTGTAAAAGAATGACCCATATACAATAAAACAAATTTGTTCCATAATTATTAATACATATATTTTTTACTTTAATTATATTGTGCTAACATTACAATAAATCGAAAAACAAAAATATAAAATACACATCTAAATATTTTCTCAATTATGAGTTTATAATTCTCTCAGGACGTCATCCAAAAACATATCATTATGGCTAATTATATAAGTAAGAGCCAGGTTGCGCAGAGCCATATTATGGAGTAACATAATAACAATTTAGTTATATTTAGTTGGACTAAATATGACTTTGCACTGTCCTATGGATTCAATTTCTAATCTAATTTAGTGAATATGCTCACAGACAAAACACGAGTATTTCGTTTTAAAAGACAAATACTCAAGTTTATTATCGAACAACACTTTTTTGAATAACGAGACGCCTTGTTATCATAACTATAATTTAGTTCAAATATTAGTTATTGTTATATAGTAATTGTTATTATTGTTTAGTTATTTGTTGTTCACATTGAAAACAAGAACAATTTCACATTTGACGTGACCATTGCTGTGTGCGTAACTCAGTCCTAAGTATAGCTAGTACTATATTATATATTATTGAATAGGTGAATTCCCTAATTCAGTGTTAATAGTCAACATTTCTGAAAATAATGACACAATTATTGCCAAGACTACTGCTGACAAATGGGATTTGTCAACATAAATCCATGTACATTAATAAACCAAAGTTACTGAACATTCAATGCCACTCCTATTGGGTACTTACCGAAGAAGTACACAGTAATACTAAAAAAATGATCAATAATCTTCGAACAAATACTATTTTAATAAATTATGATTGAAATCTACAGGATCTTCTTATAGTAGGTACTTTTTCAATATAACGACATTTAAACATCTGGTAATTAAGTTGTCATCTAATACTATCTTTTAGTACTCCACCCTAGACTACAACACAATTTATGTTAATAAATAAAATCTATGTGAGTACGTCAACAACAATTACTACATAGTATGAAAACTATAAGCCTGCTAATTCTAAATATCCGAAAAAGTTGTGGGAGACAATTCCTAGATACTAGTCGTGAGTCCTGAAAGGTTAGATTATGTTTTGATGGTAGTCCACAATAAATTGGATTCACAATGTTTTGAATCTTTCTTCAATTTGTGACTGTTAAAGAGTGTATATGTATGAAAATTGAATGAATCTTGTCTGCGAATATAGTAACGTTCTTCGTCAAGTGGTACAACTGAAACTGATGTAACGACAGATTGTATTATTATGCTGCGAAATTATTTCTCTGTCTTAATCAGGGGAATTTGTCCAGGTGAAGAAATCTTGCTACCTAAGTGGTCTTAAGCTATAAATCTATATGTCTTGAATTTGTGTAGGCATGAAACTGATGAGCGATATTATGTTATGTAGAGCTGCAATTCAATTACGTCTATTGGCGATAAACGCATTTATGTGGGACAAATACCTGTTTAGTACGGGACTATATTCTGAACTAAATTGGGTAAGGATAGTTTTTGCTGTCTGTTAAGAATTTTGTTGTTAAGCAACCATGAACTCGAAAAAGGTAATGAAAAAGGTAATTTAGAGCGTAAAGAATTTGCCGATAGTTAATAGTCGACCTCATTCCGTTGAGATACCAGTCAATTTATTCTTGATGAAAAAGAATGGTCGTCATATACGTTTTATTCACTGTGGTGCCATTCGGGTGGTTATCTGTCTGACACGAGAGAAAAACTTGAAGCTGATTCTGTTAATTAAAAAGTCACTTCCACAGATTGACAAACAGTCCTACAAATCTAATATTTTCAAAACAGGTGTGCAATTACTGAAATATAATAACACTGCTATTTCATCATTGTTGTTCTTGTAACCCGCTCAGATCTGTAAGCAGATAACATGAAAGGATATACAAGCCGATTACATGGGTAGGGAGGTGGGTAGGTAATGGTTGGGAGAGGTGTGTGGAATGAGGAAGAAGATGGGGAAGATTGGGTGGGTGGACTGAAATTAAACGTTAGCCTGTATTCAGCCGAAGCAACCTGACCACTTCAATATATTTTATCGTCTATCTATTAAATTATTACAATTGATAATAATCAAAATAAACTGTATTAGTTTTTTGTAATTTATTTACTAATATATTTTTTAGTTTCATGTGTTTTAAATAGAGTGCCTTCTTGTCTCAAAAGTTAAACTTTATATTTATTATTTATAAATTATATTATGAATTAAATTAGTCATTTTTCAAAATTTTAACAAAACGGTTTTAGCTAATTTGGAGATAAAAAAAATGGAATTAAGTGAATATTCTTGTTTAGTTTTATTATTAAATATTTAGTGATTTAGTTAAATAACTAGAAATTTTTTGCGTTAGCGATACATCATAACATCAGAGCTTTGATACATACACATGTAAGCATCACAAAAAAGTCGTTTTGCCAATGGCGGTAGCAATTTCTCATTAGGCGTTTCATTTAGAGAACGTGCGCCTTCCTCAGTCAACCATTGTGGCAAGTTAGGAACCACGTGCATATTAGGTATATTATACCCATTTTTTTCACCTTAATAATAAAAATAACATTAATTAAGTAATTTAAGTTAAGCACGTATTATATTACCTTCACGGTCAGCCATTGAATCAAAGAAACACCATGGTGCATCAGGCCCAAATCCAGTCTTCACAAATGCCACATAATGGGAGGTTTCTATGCAAACAACTGCAAACAGTTCCATATATAAACGTGGTATATTTAAGTTTTGTTGATGTTCTGCCATAATTGTATAGTCTTCCGGTATAGACAATTTGCGGAAATTGTGATTAGCTCTGAAGAAAAATTAAACAAATATAAATTAATATAAGTATTGACAATTACTGTAGTCGTTTAATTAAACGAAAAGTTTATAGGGCAACACAATTGTTAAATCGAATGATTCGTTAAATGAAATTAATATATTAATATATATTTTTTATTTCAAAAACTTAAATTAGCTAATCTATTAATAATTAAGTACAGAATTATAAAAAAATCTATTGATTTCTTACACTATCTCTTTTCAATCTAGTAAAATTATTCATTTTAGTAAAATATTTATTATATTCTTCAGTTAACTATACAGAAGTTTTAAGTTATCCACAATGTTATTGTGTATAATTACAATCGTTAATAGCATTCTAATATCAATCATTATCTATTCCACATTTAACATACCTTCTGCTCAAAAAATATCCGGATTTTGTTGTTTGTTATGTACTTCTTAAGTAATAGACCTCTTTCAAAAAATTTTTTTTTGTTATGTTGGTACACCCTTACTTGACATATGGTACAAATTTGAGCGCCATCTGACAATTAGTTTGTTTACAGCAGCTGTTAATGTGAGACTACCTCAAGTGCATTTAGCGATTTTTACTATGGAAAATTCTTGTTGTACGCGATTTTTTGACCAAACACGGCTATCAACACCAATGTCATCGCTCAGGCACCATATTCGCCAGATCTGGCACCGTGCGACTTTTTCCTGTTCCCGAAACTCAAATTGCCCCTTCGTGGTAAGCGTTTTGAGTCGATTGAATCGGTAAAAGAGAATTCGCCGAAGGAACTAAAAGCCATACCTGCACGGGCCTACGAAAAGTGTATGGAAGATTGGGTTAGGCGTTGGCATATGTGTATCGCTTCAGAAGGAGCATATTTTGAAGGAGATAAAATAAATTTGAAATAAAATTTAAATTTGTCTGTTTTATTTACAAAATCCGGGTACTTTCTGAGCTGGAGGTATAATGAATGCATAGTTCAATCTATAGAATAGTCAAAGATACAATTTTATCTTTCTTTAAATCGTTAAATTGGGTATTTGCTACATTGGACGCTTACTATATATGCATTTAAAGTAAATACCTCTTTTCATGCTTGTGTGCAGTATCTAAACATGTGTAGCAAAACGCTGTACCACCCAAGCCTTCATCTAGTTTTCCAAAGCAATCACGGCATTCGTGGTCCGCTAAATTTCCACAAACAGAACACTGTCTTGGTGCTTAAAATATTTAATTTTTAGTACAAAAAAATATTTATATAAAAAGTACTTGATGCTCACAATCTTCAATTATATCAGTCACATCCAAAACTTGAGATGGTAATATGCGTGGGTACATTTTAAAGTTCTTGCCAAAGCGAGGCATTTGAATTATGAGACAGGAAGGTACTTCTTTTAATTTTATATCAGATGAATGAAAGCTTTGCTCAAATAATTGTTGTACGGTGGGAAATATGAGGCGCTCATCCTTTTCCACAAACAATTGGTAAAAATAAGCATCTTGACCAGAACTTAACTGAAATTACATATTAATATCAAAATTAATCAAATAGCAATAATGAAAATCATGTGCAAAAATCATGATTTGAGAATTGATGGATCGGTATTTTCACACAAAAAGTGTCATAAAACGACATGGGTATCGCCAGCGAATAATATAGAAAAGCAAATCAACCACATTTGCCTTTCGAGAAAGTATTTTAACATTGTTTGCAATGTTCGAAGTAAGCTTAGCGCAAATATTGGCTGCGATCATTACACAATAATTAATCAGAATAAAAAGATCAGCAGATATGATCCCATTAAATTAAAAATTGACTCAATGAGGTCGACAGTAAGGCGAAGATTAATAGAATTCAACCAGATGAAGAGAATCCACCACTTATTGCAGAAGAAATGTGCTCAAATCGGAAAAGAAAATTCAAGAAAATCTGTGATAATACAATTAAAGCACACCAGCAGGAACGAAAATATTGGATTACTCAAGAAACATGGAACCCTAATTGACGAACGCAGAAAATTTAAAAATAAACTAGCAGGATACTGCAATAGACTAAAAGAAGCATAACTAAAGCCAGATTACGAGAGGATCAGCAGGCAAATTAAAAGACACATTCAGAAAGACAAACAGGCCTTCTATGACGAACAAAGAAGACAAGCACAGTCAGCAGCAGATAGGGGCGATCTAAGTAATATAGTTTGAAAACTAGGTGGTTCCAGAGCGTCAAACATCACAGCAATAGAAGACGAAAATGGAATATTAGAAACATGTAAAGAAAAACAGCTAGCGAACGAGATGATCACTAAATAGGTATACAAATACAGACGCACCTATCTCATCAGAACTAACAGCAGCAATTAAAACAATAAAAGACGAAAAAAACTACCGGTAACGATGACAAACCTGCGGAATTTTTTAAAGCAGATGTCGAAGCGATGGCGGCCATACTTTTGCCGCCATATTCGTCAAGTTACCAAAGAAAGGTGATCAAACCGGCGCGGAGTATCCATACTGCCAACAATTGGGAAAATATTCTCTCAAATAATCCGATCCACTTGATAAACTTATAAAAGCAAACCAAGCTGGTTTCCGGTCTAGTTACACATGCATCGATAACATTCCAGTCGTCAGAATCCATATTGACCTCTATATATGGTGTTTATTGATTATGACACAGCATTCGACGCATTAAAGAGAGACGTTATATAGATTGCACTTTCTGCAAGAATGGTCCCCGATAAAATCGTTGATATAATCAGAAATAAGTACAATATCTTTTCATGTCGGGTTTTACACAACGAGCAGCTTAGCGAGTCGTTTCGAATTGTATCAGGAATGAAAAAAGTCTGCGTACTCTCGTCTGTACTTTTTATTACGGCTCTCGATCTGGTGTACAAGTACTTCAATTAAGCAGGTATTCATTGGAAGATAATGCAAAAACTAGGTGATCTAACCTATGCTGATGATGTACCCTATTAGCAATACATTTAATGAGATCCAAGAGAGACTTATGACCGTAGCTAGCGACACTTCAAAAATCGGTCTTCAAATTCACATCGAAAAGACTTAATAAATGCGCCTGAGCTCACGTAACAGCAATTAGTTTCAAAATATACGAGGACAATATATGATATACGATCCTTCAAGACTTTGAAGGATTTGAGAAAATAGCGAAGGCTACTGGTACCTACTCCGGTCTTTTGCGGGTATGGTCAAATAAAACAATAAAATAAGAAACCAAAATTCAAATATTTAACTCCTGGGTCAAGTCATTGCTTATCTACGGCAGCGAAACATGGTACTTAAAACAAGAAGCAATTCATAAACTACAAACATTTGTAAATAGATGTTCACAACGTATAGTCGATGGTCCTGTGCGATAACTAATGCTCGTTTGTGGCAAATATCTAAACAAATCCCTATTGATAAAGAAATAGTGCGCAGGAAATACAAATGGATTTGGCATACCCTTCGGAAGGACGCAAACGAAATAGTATATGCAGCCCTACAATGGTACCCCCAAAGGTGCAAGAAACAGAGCACGCCCCTGGATTACATGGCGTAGAAGAGTTAATAAGGAAACAAATGAAACATTTAATTAGTTAAGACATTTAGATTTAAATTTTTAATTTACCCTTAATTGATGTAATGCTAGAACAATAATAATAATTATAATAACGAAAAATATTTATTTAGTTAATAATATCTTAAAAAATCTTGAAGATAATCGTTCATGTATAGTAAGTCACGATTTATATTAATAACTAACAAACATAATTAAATAAAATTGATTTTTTTGTCGAATGTGACACGTTTTGTAACGAAAAGAAAACTAGAAGTGTTTGAACAGTAATGAAGAAACAGCAACAAAAATTTGATTAAGTTATTAAAATTTGACTGACCATGCAACGCTGTTTCGAGTATTGTCAAGTACACATCATCAGTGATCGTAGGAAATAATCGAATTTTTAATTAGTTAATAGTCCGTATATAATTTGTTGGACTGCAAGTACCAAGCTTAGAACTCGTGCCTGTTAATGCTCAAGTTCGAAGCTTTAGCCAGGCTATAGTAGGCCTGGCTATTATACAGTAATATGCAATAAAGCCACAATAAGCTGTCGCTATTTAAATCCCAAATTCTACTGTAGAAACGTTTACAAATCCATATAATATGATTTGCTTAAATAAGCACATATTAACTGCAAGCGTTCCAGTTGAGCCAATAATCCGATGATTGACCTAAAAACATATTTAACTTTATTGAAAGCCGTGTCTCATATGAATAGAGACTTAAGGTTTAGTTTGTCCGTTAGCTGTTACTGCTTTTTTTTGGTTGATGTGTAGGTTTCCTTTTATGTACCAAACTAGAACTTTTTACAAGACAGACACCATATTTCCAATCATATTATTGTGATAGTAAACGCATTGCTCTTGTAGTCGTTTTACTCCAATTCAATAAGTGCATCTTTAACTACCAGTAATCAAAGCAGTTTTAAAGGAACTTCTCAACACATTACAGTGTTGATACTTACGGATGTGATTTTGGAAATATGTTGTTGTTATCAGCGATAACAATGTGCATGTAGTGATATTGTCAAAAGCCCCATTCATATCCATAAATGCTCAATGAGCTATTTCTTTAAAGTAGGCATCACTTCGATTTGGCTAACCAGTTGAAGTTGAACAATTGGTTTACATTTGAAGTAATTAAACGGATTATAAGAAACGTACTGTTTTGTAAAGCACATATGGAGATTAAACAATCTCAGGACGGTATTCAATAATTAATACCTAAGCATATAATATAATATTATGTATAAAGTAGATACATAAACTGTTTTCTTTACTCAAAATATATTTTTAGATGATTAATAATCTTTTAAAGAAAAAATTCATATGCCGTAAGAGGTTATAGCAAGATACAAACCTATATAAAAATATACAACATATGATTTTCGAAGTAACTATATTAAACTAAATATATGAAACTTTAATTATTTAGACTTACCTTCAAAAATGGTTCAACATGCATAATTTGAGCTAACAAACTATTTAGAAACTCTTCTGGATCCTTCTCTTCGCTAGTCAAACCACTTACAGAACTTAATTTATCTAATAGTTTGCGCAATTTCATCACTCGATCAGCACGTACAAACACATTTTTACGTAAAGGATTTACAATTTCTTCTCTTAAAACCTTTTGTACTTCTAAATAACTGGGTATATCCTTTAATAAAGAATAATTTATTTTTAAAACATAAATTACTAACATGAATGAATAAATAAATGGGATGTCTCAATAAATACATAAATAAATTAATGAATGATTGAAGAAATGATTTTATAAATATATAAATGAATGTAAAATCTGTAACTTACATCTGGATCAGGTGGACGAAATAGTAGAGAATCAAACACGGTCGTAAACGTAAACATGGAAAAGAGTGTAGCGTCTAAATAACAAGAATTGTGATGACCCTGGATTCCTTTAAACTTGCCACATAATTTCTCAAGATCTGACCGTTTCTGAGCTCCTATTTTTTAAAGATTTATATGTAAAACAATATATTTTTATTCGTTTCTATGTCAGCACTCACTTAGAGGTGGAACAGCACCCGGTACAGATGGACATTCAACTTGACCAAACAATTTGGTATCCTGCTGGTTATTTATTACATTCAATTTTCCTCCTACGGCACCTTCCATATCAGTAAAACGTCTATCGCTTTTACACTGATTTGGAGCAACAAATATAGCTCGCCCTTCTGGACACTTAAAAAGGCTAAAAAATAAAAAAAATATTGTTTAATGTTTATTATTCCTTTTTAGTTTCTTCCTTAATCTTTTGTAATTTAATATTTAATTTTAAAAATATTTGTTAAATTTTATTTTTTTATATTTTAATTTTTAAAGAGGTTTTTCCGAACAGTAGTGAACTACAACAACAAAAATTTTATTTTTTATATTATTTTAATTAATTGAATTTTTAGCTGACCATACAGCTGTTTCGAGTATTGCCAAATACCCATTATCAGTGGTCTTGGAAATAATTCTTGTATTTATTTATTCGTAAATAATTATTTTTGAGACTACAAGTACCAGGAATCGAACTCGGGTCCTGCCAAATGTGAAGCTCAGAATCAGCGCACCTTAACCAACTGATCCAAAGCGGTACTTGACTTTTTTGTTCGCATATTTTTCTGGAGTTTTGTTACTTTTGCTATGAAAGTTTTTTATTAACAATTTTACTTGCTGTGTTTATATTAGAACGAAATCATAAACCAGCTGTAGAATAATTGAATTAATTAATTAATTATATTTTTATTTTTAGTGCAAAAAGTCCCTAGAAAATTTCAATTTACTTTACCTCAATTTACTCGAACTCGCACACATCCTAAGATGACACTTTTTAAATTTAGTTATAAATTTTAGTTATGGGCGCATTTTTTTATATCCGGTATTTTGACATCACCTCCTCTAATTAAATAAAAATACTCGTATTTCGGTAATATTTGTTGATTTTTTTCCTAGATGATATGGGCCTATGGGGCTTTGGATTAATAATCAAACATTTTACAAATAGTTTAAACAGTTGAAATTAAACAAAAAAACATATAAAAATGAGTTTTTTAATTTATACATGAAACATTTTTTACTTTTTAAGTTCAGATTTAACATTATATTAACCTTTTTCAGGAAAGCATTATTTTAAGAGGTATTTTTAAAAAAATTAATAAATCAGTCATCTTATATATCCTAGAAAAAAAATTTAACATTTTTTCTAGAAGTATAGGTTTATTATTTTATTAAAAAAAATTTATCCAAATCGGATGTGATGACACGATAAGCCACCCCATTTTAAGAGAATGATCCATATACACTATTCCAATTGACAATTATAGAGATATACGTCTTCAATATAACCAAACAGTTGGAAATGAAATACTTTAAAAGTAAACAGAAATAAAATTTATATTTATATATTTTATGTTTATTACGTACGTATAACTATAATATTATACTCAAGGGTCAGCGAATATATGGCTTTGACGTTTAAAATAAAATATAAAATTTTATATAAATTTCAAATCGAATGTAAATGGAATAACTAAATTTAATCAGGCAATGATTGCTATCACATGTTAAGAGAGGCGAAAAGTTAAATTTGAGTACTGGTTTTAATACACTAATAGAACATATTACTTAGAAATTTAATCAATTTTTTAGATTGATGGTTCATTCGGGCAATACAACCACTTGAAAAAGTCGTGGAAGATAATTAAAATAGTATCCAATCAGTTATATATGGTAAATATAAACATTAGGGGTATTCATTTTGTGTTGCAAAGTCATTGCAAGGTGCACGAAATGCAAGAATGCTATACCAAAATTTTAAGAGTGCGAGAACACCTCTGTTGCAGAATTGCAACATCAAAATGAAACAGCTGTTTTTGCAGCTGCATGAGAAGCAATAGATAACAAAACAGCTGTAGTTTTTCCTTTTTTGTTGCGTTGCAAGCATATATACATGGGTTTAGATATAGCAAGGGGATGGGATTGAACATACAAGGTAAAGTGATTGCATTTAACATGGTAAATGCCAGCGCAATTCTTGTCACTGTTCTCTCCAAGTTGACACACAGCCTCCACGTGGCCCCCTCTGGATAGCTACAATCATCCGTGCGTAGTGAACTAATGTGTGCAACGAAATTCTCCTAAGGGATATATGAGGTTATGCATTGAGCTTAGAACCCATCTTTTAAAAACTCCATTCAATGCAAACGAAGAGGCAGCCTCGGATAAGGAAACGATCTACTGATGACGATTGCAAACAATTGAAAGAAACTTTGTGTGTGTATTTTTTATTGTTGTCCATTGCAAGTTCACGCAAACTGTGCATTTCATGCACTTTGCATTGAGTTTGCAGGACAGAGTGCAATATTACTAAAGAATTAATATTCTTATTTTATTAGTTCTGAGAGCGGTGCAGTCGTCTAAATTTTAAAGTCACTCGTCTTCACATACCACCAAGTATAACTCACCCGTTTAAAAAAAGACAGCGAATACTGGAAAGTATTTGTTGTACCTTACATCCACAGTTTTCCCATTCTATCTAATGTGTTCTAACTAATGTGGCATGTGGATTAAAAGAAATGTTTTTTTAACAATATGAATATGATAAATAGATTTCAGCAGGCATCTAAAATCTAAAAATACTGCGGCCAAAAGTGTCAATCGAATATAATGCGTTACTTAAAATGTAATGTTACAGTTTATTGGATTTCCGTGTTAATAATGTTAAAATTATAAAATAAAATTTTATTTTTTTTAAAGAAATGCTTTATCTACCGAACTTTACTCCGAAATTTAGCACAACTATTGAAACAATTTTCAAGGTAACTGATTTTATGCACTGGATCTTTAGTTAAAATATATGTATATGTTCAATTGGTAGTATGAAGAAAACGACTTCGATTTAAAGAACTATTATTGGAACTGCTGCAATCTCTACTGTACTTACAATAACATATGCTTTTAAAACAAGATGTGGTTTGATGAACTTTTATTATAAGAAATTAATTGTCAGTAATATATTATTCTAAAAATGAAATATTAGAAGAAGATATTAAGAATAAAGTAAAAGTTTTAAACATGATTTGTTATTAAATAATTCAGCGAATCGTAAATATAATCAAGAAGCCATAGGAACATACGCAGAAAATATTGAATATGAAACCGAATAATCGACAAACCTAGATAATATCCCAGCCCATCTAGATGGGAGTCCAACTCTCTCATCTATTATTTAATAATTTAAAAGAGATTATTATTTTTAAAATAAAACAATATTAATAAAATTTGGATTACTGAAACAATATCTACCGTTTAGAATGTATCCTTTACTGTAATTTATTTCAAAAAAGCTATTTTTCAAATTGCGATCTAAAACTAAATGTTCAATAAAATTATACTAAATCGCTAGGTAACCAACTCAAAGAATATATGAGAAAACAAAAATCTCAAAAATTAAAATTCAATAAATAGACGAGAAAAATACCATTCACCGAATAATAGAGCAATATATCGAGTACAACTATATATAATATGCGCTACTAATTGACTTTTAAATAATATTCGCCTTTGTTAAAAGAGATAATATTTGGAGACTCTTAAACTAAACCAGTTTGTTTGTCCAGATAAAATTGAGAGCCCCGACTTAATAATTAGATATCAGAATCGTACATACTAGACAAAATCTCGAAACACTAATCGGAGAAGCCAGCCCTTCTTCTATGGTAAAGCAAATGTTGCCAAGCACTGAAGAGTGGAGCCTTTACAAATGCATGATCTCTAGAACAATAAACATTGTTAAAGAGGACGAAAGTACTTAGTACGCAATCAGAGTGAAAACACACGAATCACCAGGAGTTTAAGCTGAGAATGTAAGTCTTTTTACTCCCCATAGGCATGTACGACTCAATGAGTCGTGCATGAATCGGGCATGCAAATAGTTTTGACTATTTAGAAGATTTTTCTTACAGGTTCGATAGAAAAAAAAATTAAACCAGCTTCAGAATGAATCACTAAATGTTAGCCTAAAAATCAGTAATAACAAAACGAAGCATTACTATCAACATTAAAATATAGATTGACTGCGTAAAATTGGTGCTCTGCGAAACCTAGACAACATACATCGTGCTTTATGTCTGTGAAGTATTCTTTCAACATGATAAAAATTTCTAAGAATGATTTTAAGAGATTTACAAACCCACAGAAAATTCATTCTAAAGTTAGCAATTCTGAACATTATTTATTTACCTACTGAAAATGGCGACAATCTCAAATCCCACCTAAAGCATAATTCTTGCAATTAAGATTTTACTTGTGACTACTATTTATAGAACAATTTATACGGTGCTAAAAGTACATAAGAATATGTGTACTACTATTTAACAATAAAGACAATCGCCATGTAGGCACTTTCTATTTTTTTCTCTTTCCATTTTGTAGCTTTGTTTACTAACGATTTCTTTTGAATAAATAAAAATGTAATAAAAATTAACTTTAAATCAAGTTTAAATTGAAAAAAGATGACAATAAGATATATAATTTTTTATTTTAGTGGCTTGACTATTACACTGATTACACTAGTAAAAAAAACTACACTTGCAAGAACGATAACAACAAGAACGATAAAATCGTAGCTTACACCTTCTGGTCTTTAATTTTTATTAAGATCACTTATGACTTCACGTAACAATGCATATCTATTGATAGCACATATCAAAAAAAAAAATGTATTGTTTCATAATTCTAGATAATTATAATTCTCAGTAAGTTTGTTCTCTTTCTTATTTAATAAACTGCTTTTGGTGCATTATTTATGCCTGTCAATTTTGATTTAATATAAATTTGATAATTTGTGCTCTCTGACGGTGCGTACATATAAAATATATGGAATATAAACCGATATATATGGTACTAGTGTAGTAATTATAAATTTTACTTTCTTCTTCTCCTATACGAATAAATGTACTCGTTTTTATGTATTTTATATTTTACTTAACCTTAATTTAATATATTTGACAATTGCAACTTCATATTATTGTATTATTATTATATTATATATTATATATTATATATTATATATTATATATTATATATTATATATTATATATTATATATTATATACTAGCTGACCCCGCGAACGTTGTTTCCCCTTGCAATTAATTTTCCTGGCTCAGCTGAGTTATAATATTTGTTGTTATTCAACTTAACCTTTAGCATTTTAATGCGAAAATTATTTTGAATTGATTTTTTCTTTTGATCTACATGTATTACTTATGTTACAAATATTTTCATGTTACTTCAAATCCTTATAAGCACTACATTTTAAATGAAAAAAGGTTATTGTTTATCACTTCATCAGACTAAGCAATTATTGACCTCAGATCTGCATACCTCCCCGAGGAGCCTGTAACCATTCAGAGATTTGATAACGCGGTGTTGGTAAGTCTTTCAGATTTCGCAAATAATTTCACCTCAGCATGATTATAGGTGAGTCAATTTTTAATCTTAAGTTATATGGTAGCATTCCTGGTTTGTATAGTTGTCGTTTAGCAGTCTGTTTGAAGCGGTATTGAACAACTGGACCAACTGGTTGTGATTTTTTAAAAACGGTTCTAAAATACCCACAATTTCTTGCTCCTCCATCTGCTCGATATGGTTGTACTGGCAACGTGCGTTTAGTTGCTGCTTCTCATCACCCATGAAGTAGATTTGCAGAAATTTGCGTTCGTTATTGGGCATCGGCATTAAAGAACCAATTTGGTGATACACTTGGCCCTGAATCTTAAACGTTGATTGAAAATTGCGACCATTCTCATTCTGAACGATTTTTGTTGTTCCAAATGATGTCATTTGAAAGCACGAATTGAATTTGCGAATTTTACGAAAAAAACAATTTAGATTGAGATGTAGCTCCAGCCAATAGTGCTTTCAATGGTTCTGGCGGCGAATTCAATGGTGGCAATACAACTTTTCCAGATGCGCAACAGAAACCGGCCGATTCACCTTTGTATTTGAGTGTTGGGACTCAAATGACGCATGACAGTGTTGGCACTATTTGTTGATAGCACCGATTACAATTCGTGAATGTGACGAATAGTCGATATCCGACTCATATTCAAAAGCAAGGCGATGAAATGATGCACGTGTCAATGTGCCATACACTTGCAAACGCTGTTGTTCACGTGTTCTGAATGTGTCGGTGACTCGTTGACGGGCCAGTCTTTGTCTCAATGCATTAGCTCGAAGGGGTTTGTTGCGTTGCTCTTGACTTTCATTAGCACGTGTGATTGTATTCTGGTTTGTTACATTTTCATTGTTTTCTGGCGATCTATTTAACCGACGGATCTGGAGTAATTGTGAATTCCGAGTCCGTCGACCAATATTTCCTTCTCGTCCACGAAGGCGTGGTATTGTTTTTTGTACGTTATATATATCTTCTTTATATATATAATTCTTCTTTTTTGCGTGTGTTCAAGTGAATTCAAGGATGGCTTAGATTCACAATTTGGCCCACTGGATAACGTATTTTTAATTATTATACAGTTTTTTGGTATCCATATACATTTATATTAGACATTTAAAAGTTATTCATGTTTACTTTGATTTGTTTAAAAAGTTTAAACTCTAAAATGAATCGTTCAACTATCCTGTTGAATTTTTGAATTCGCTGGAGTTTCCAGGAATACCACCACATAACTTAAGATTAAAAATTGGCTCACCTAATACTGCGGAATTTAAATGCACTTAAGCTATGCAACGGCAGTTTTACGAATCATTTCAGAGATTTTAAACTTTTTAAACAAATCAAAGTAAGCATGAATAAATTTTAAATTTCTAATATAAATGTACATGGATACCAAAAAATAAAAAATTAATTAAAAAGACATTATCCAGTGGGCCAAATTGTGAATCTAAACCTTCCTTCAATCCACTTGAACACACACAAAAAATTTCATCAAAATCGGTTCAGCCGTTTAGGAGGAGTTCACTGTCAACACACGTACAGAAGAATTAAATATATAAGATTATATATTATATATTATATATATATTATATTATATATTATTATTATTATTATATTTTTGATTTGCAATTTTTACATTGATACTTTAGATGCATCAATCTGGTGCGTCTATTTATTTTTAGCATTTTCAAATGTAAAACATTGTGAATCTAAAGCTAGATACTCGTAGTATAAAATGCCAGTATAAAAATAATGCCAGTAGCAGAGCAGAAATCGGAATTGTACCACAAATAACATATTTTGAATTCATCAATTAACAAAAATTGTGCATATATTTATACGTATCAGCTAAGAAATATAAGTAATGAAAATATAATAACTTACGGTACTCCAAGGTAAGAACCATTGCTTGGACACAATTCCTTGTCAACTGCTTCATCTTCTAATTCCACTCCGACCATTATAGAATTATCTCCAGAAGGAACACCAATCCATTGTATAACTCCATGCAAATTTTTATTGTTTAATACAGATACTTCAACCATAGATCCAATCACCAAACCAGTATCCGGTATTTCTTGTAAGGGTGAAGGCTTAATGGATTCCACTTTGCCTAAATCGGAGTCTTCACATCCTATTGCTGCTGAATCATCGGATGCCTGTGCTGCGGTTGTCGTCTGCTCGCCTAAATAAAATGATGCATCTGAATTGCTTACATTATCATAGAGTGGTTCGGTTTGTACATTAATGTAGTCTGTGAAGAGTGTTATGCATAGGTACAAAAAAGATTGCTTTGATATACTGAAACTGTATATTAGATATCATTGTCATTTAACCTGTACTGTTGTGTCCAAATTCATGACTGTATCTAACTGGTGGTGATGCAAAGAGTTCCAACACTGTCAGAGGAATATTATTATAGATGGAAGAATCACTTGGAGAAGTTGTTGCAGCTCTTTGCATTTCATAAGCGTTTTCAATTTCCATTGATTTATGGCAAATGTGAAAATATTTGTACAAATGGAAATACACAATATATATATTCCGTGCGAGAATTACTGTGAACTTTACTATGCCAACGGCGACAGGAAAAGCTATGATGATGACAATTATCACAATTGTTCATAATAAATTTATTTTATTTTAAAAGAAAACATAGTACCACGTAAAACACAAAAATAATAATAGAAGCGGTGTAGTCAATGTACAGCATACTTGAATAGACTAGTGTGTAATGCTTTCAAAAGTAACCGAATATTCAGAGATAAAAATAGCTCATTATTAGCACATATGTCTCGACCTTATATATGAAATATATTTTTAGCTTATGGTTTCTGTTAAATAAAAATTAAATACACGATTATCATTGCACCAAAATGCACAAGTGGAGCACATTATAAATAAGAACAAAACTTTTAATGCGAGACATATTTAGAACTAGATCATTTACTATGGTTTACTACTTTACTAAAGGTCAAAAAAAATCTTATCGATATGTCAACATTTTAAGTTTTTGCTGCCGATTGAATAAGTTTATCCATTTCGATATTGTGAGAGAGTTTTATAGTTATATTTTTTTTGATATTGCAGAGAGTAATCATATAAATTTGTCAAATATATAATTGTATGCGTTTACGTACACGTTTATGTGAACGCACTTAGTGAAATATTTGTGTAAATTTATCAACTTGCTATATAATGGCACTATTTATATCAGCAATAATTATGACAACACAAAATGCAATGCTCAGCACGCACTTTTTTAGTCAATATCGATGCAATTTTAAAAATTTGTGCAAACTTTATTGATCAGTTGTGTCGCTATCAATAAATTAAAAAAGAAAATACCTAAATTGAACGAAAAGTCCAAACTAAAAAATATTTACAAAATATTGTAGTAAATGAATTGCTTGTGTTGGAACGCAACTCTGTATTGACAACAAATAAATTTATACAATATAAATTTATTCGGTAAAATTTTCGTGTAAATTTATTAAGTTTGTGTAAACGATTTTTCATACAAAATTTGACACTTCATTTACCATGTAGATAAATTTATACGTTTATAGGGTTTATAAAACATTTATCAGTTTAGATGAGTACCCCTAATATATTCATATTATGTTTATATTAAACTTTATTTATATTATATTTTAACTATATATTTTAATTATGTTGACATTATATTTATTTTATATTATAATCATATACTTATATTATGATTATATTATATTTATATTTATATTTATATTTATATTTATATTTATATTTATATTTATATTTATATTTATATTTATATTTAATTTATTTTTTTTATTTTATTTATTTTTCTTTATTTTATTTATTTTTTTTTATTTTATTTATTTTTTTTTATTTTATTTATTTTTTTTTATTTTATTTTTTTTTTTTATTTTATTTATTTTTTTTATTTTATTTATTTATATTTTTTTTATTTTATTTTATTTATTTTTTTTTTTATTTTATTTATTTATTTATTTTTTTTATTTTATAATTTTTTTTTTATTTTATTTATTTTTTATTTTTTTATTTTATTTTATTTATTTTTTATTTTTTTATTTTATTTTATTTATTTTCGTTTTTTATTTCTTAATATTTTTTATTTATTTATTTTGTTTTATTTATTTTTTTTTTTTATTTATTTTTTTGTTTTATTTATTTTTTTTATATGTATCTATATTTATATTCATATTCATATTCATATTTATATATATATTTATATTTATACTTATATTTATATTTATATTCATATATTCATATATTCATATATTCATATCTATATTTATATTTATATTTGTATTTATATTTATATTTATATTTATATTTATATTTATATTTATATTTATATTTATATTTATATTTATATTTATATTTGTATTATATATTACATATCATATCATATTATACTTATTATATAGTACATTATATTATTAATTATATTATACTATATTTAATATTATATTGCATTATGTAATGTATTCTATTATATTTTATATAATATTATATATATAATATAATATATTACATTATATTATATACTGTATTATATATGATATTGTATTATATTTTATACTGTATTATATTGTATATTATATTACTTATTGTATTATATTATATTATAATGCATTGTATATTATAAAATTAATATTAATGATGTGTAATGTAATATCCTTAACACTGTTATTTTCAATAATTTAAGTTTTATAGTACATTATAAAGAATACCAAGAATTTATTCCGCAGTACTAATCCAACATTATTCTAAAATTAGTCAACATTTTTTTTACTGCGAGAACAGAATTGTGTATATGCTTATGGTACATAGATATTGGAATTAGTTCAAGAAGTTACGAAGTCTATATCGTTTGTGTCTCCTAACATGTGCAATCATTTTAAGGTTATACACACACACTCCAAAGTATCTACTTCGACATTTGGAATTTTTAAGCAAAAGTATAATCTAAAAAGTGTTTTTAGCCGCATTTAAAAGAACAATTACTGTGTAAATGTTTGGAATTGTTTTCGATAATGCAGCTTACCAGTGAATTTCCTTCTTTTTCGTTTCGAAACTACTTTACATAAAAAGTTATGTTTACATGTATTAAATACAAATGAGAAACGCTGTTATCATACATACCACTAGGAACTTTAACTAACGATTCTGTCGCTTCAAATTTGGTTGATTTGTTCCGCTGGTAGGCTCCCTCGCCAGAACGCGATGCACTGTGACGTAATAATGAATTTGGTGATCGGTTACGTTTGCTTGTATTTAAAGCACTGGTATTATTAATAGGCTTCGCAGATACTGTATTACTAGGTAAAGTCACTTGTGAAGAGTCTTTTTGAAATTTGTTTGCACTATTTAATAAAGCTGCCACAGACCCACCACTTTCTGGCCAATTCCCGCGCAACATATCATATAAATCCATTTCTTCTTTTGGTACCACAATAACATTACCTTCGCTGGCATCATCTGGTTTATCAATTAAATAAATATCCTGATTGTTTATATTTACAACTGTAGGCTTTAGAGTTGTATTTCCAGTTGTTGAAGAAGAATTTTCTTTTCCCACAACAGTACTGTTAGATGTTGTTCGAGCATTTTTTAGTATACCAACGGGCTGTATTTGCTGTACAATGTTCGGGGACGATTTTCCAGTACTACGTATTTCAACACTACTGTCATGATTTGCCTTGCTCTCAGCATCGGTAATGTTCACACTTGGAGGGGTTAAAATATTGACCACATTTTTTCGATCCATACTGGTGGAATTATGTACTACTGGCAAGTCGATTGGTTCATAAAATTTTGCCGAAGGTTTTTTTTCGTCCTTCTTTAATTTACGATCTGATCCTGTATTCGTACTATTCAAAAGATTATCACCAGCATTACCGATCGCTGACAATACGCGATCAATTTTACCGTTTATAAAGTTAAGAGCAGATGAACTTTTACCCTCATGGCATTCAAGTGGTATTATCCAGTCTATTGTAGTGAAAATTGCAAAGCTTGGCTTAAACTTAAAATACTTTTCAGCGAATGGTGTATCTTTGATTTGTTGAAATATGTCATTGTTAATATGCTAAAACAAAAATAAAGGAAATATATGTAGAAAATACACTTATTATTTAAGTAAATTAATTATTAATTAATTATTATCACATAGTGTTGTAAATTTAATGGTCACAAAAAGAACAACTATTCATTATATTTCATACACATTATGATTTAGAATGAGGTGAGTGTTTTATTAAATTTTTTTCCTTTAAACATTTAAATAATCGAGAACTTTTATAATTGTATATATGTGTATATTCTACCAATAATTACACCAATTTTAATGTAAAGACCTCAATCCAAATTTTAATTTTTGTTAGAAATCCTTACAATAATATGGCAATATTTTCCTTTAAAGAAGTTTAAGTTTGTAGATAGTAATCTTTAGTTAAGAAAGAATTAGCCTAAAAATTTTAACGTGATAGTGAGAAGGACATCGACTTATGCTTCGAATATTATAATATTGGTATTTGAATACAACGATCCGTTTGAAAATATTGGATTATTATATGGTATTTGAGCATTCGCTATTATATGTATGTGTATAATACATAAATAAAGGTAAAATAAAGTGAAAATAAAATAAAGCTTATAGCAAATTTGTTGTTCATATAGCTGGAACATCTTCAAGTAGCCTATTTATCATAATAAAGCATCGCTGTAGGAAATAAAGTAAACAACATAACTTATTGTTATTGATTTTGGAGAATTTGATATGTGAAAAAATATATGTAATAGTTGACTTTATTCAACTTCATCCAATTAGTTGATATTCTCTAATACCCTAGGCACACATGAGATTTTCTTACTAAGAACTCTATTGTAAAGAATACCATCATTTCCACTATACTTTGATGCTAATAAACATCGGTTTTTTGAACATTTTTAATAAAATTTTATAGTTGTGTGGCGACTATGTCTGACACAAATCTCGTTCGAACATATAACTATTCATTATATGTTCGAACATTAAATGTGATGGCTACGTATCTGACACATCTCGTTCGAACAAATAAATAGTTAAAACATTGAATGTAAATATTGTAAATAAGTAACTGTAATAAAGTAACACTTCCTTCGACATCACCACTCTTGTCGTGTACTTTACTCCACTGCCAAGATTGAAAGACTTGACGAATATCTTCTTTCGCTTGCGCGCAGACACTTAACTCGTCCACACAATCTCCCCCCCAATATTCTTCGTGACGAAGATCTTCCTTCTGAGTTTCTTCAAGCCCTTTTCTACAAGCCCTCTCAATCACTTTCTCTCTACCTTGATAAAATGGTTCGTTCCCCTCAATCCATCCCGTTATACAACCGTGGATTTTACAATCCCCAACATCGTGTATACCGTTAATGGTCATCTTCACTCATTAGTTTGTTAGGATTTTCTCATCACATCTAATTTCAACACTCATGCGTTTTCAAATACAAATATTAAGCTCTTATTTTCTGTCTCTCCTAATTCTGGAATGGTTTTGCATCTGCGGGTGCAATCTTCCACTTACATTCCAAAAAGGTGGTTTAGTGGGTTCAAGTCTCACACGGTGGCTTTCGATGATTCCAACTACTGGAAAAAAAAGAAAAAAAAAACACTTCCTTCTGGAGTGTAGAAAACAAACTACAGTTGATACAATATGTATCATAGTTTTAAATAAAGATATTATGTCGGTTCTACACATTACTCGCAATTAAACTCGAATAAGTTAGAAGTAAACTGAGAGCGTAAGCATAGTATATAATTTATATATAAGTGTATTAAAACCCATATAATGCATTTTACAATGGAACGCTATTGTACAAAGTCTAGTGCACTGGTTTAGATAAATGGAAACTTAGAGGTATTAAGCCAAGACGCTTATATTCTTTCCTAATTACTGGAATGAAGTTTTCACACTAAGGTGGAAGTCTTCTCCACTCATTCTAAAGAGATGGTCTTTAGTGGGTTAAACGCTAGTGTCAACAGCTGTTTTTGAATAAACAAAGTAAGCAAAAAAGTGATGTCCAAATTAATGAAATGCAAAAGTTTCTAATAATTTTCGCTTATCTGTTTTATTTTATATCATACTTAATTTAATATGACATTTTTTTTCATTCACTAGAAAGAAAATTTTTGACTGAAAACCATGTATCGTTTTGTCATTTCGACAGTACTGATAATCTCTTATATATTCTCGAAGTTAGTATGAGTAGTTCGTGGAATCGACCTTATATAATACAAGAGAACCAAAAGAAGTAACTTTAAAATACAGTACGTATATGAAGTATATTCCAAAAAATCCATTTTTTACATTAGGTTGGTTTTGTTTACTATTGCAGTCCGAGAATTCTGTGAGTCTCATTTGTGATACGCTCCATTTCTGTGAAAGATTCTTATGTTTCGTAAGTAAAAGTAAAATACACAAGAATCGATCAAAGAGGCAAGCATATCAATCAAAATTTATCAGTTTTCATAGAACCAAAAATGAACTATATATATAAATTCTCACATAAACAATATCTTTCTTTTGATGGTGTAAAATTTTCTGGTTACTAGTATTCCAAAATTAAAAATGTCATTTTATGTGTAATTTCAAATTGATTCTCTCAACAATCAAATAATCCTCTAAGGGATCCTCTATGCTCTACATTAAGAAACATTGGTCTTGGGTATTTAATATACCAAATTTATATTAAGATAACATAGGACTTAATGATTGTATAATAAAATCTATGCCAAAAATAATTCACAAAATAAGTTAAAATAATTTGCATAAGCTGTAGTTTTTGTACCCCTGAAAGCAAAAATATGAATGATTTACAAAACATACACATGATGGTAGAATCAAACAAATAGAGGAGTTAGTACACTATGTAGGAGTTAAAAAAAATTAGAAAGAGAGTGTGCTTAAGGTTAACCTGGTTCAAGATGAAGAAACTTTGTGCCATCAATTGGGTAGAACTACAGCTCAATAAAGCTTAACTTTGGGTACGCATTGGGTCAGGTGCTACGTTTAAAAAACACAATATAGATAGATTTGGTTATGTGTGATAAGTTACTGTTTTGCTTAAGTTGGATCAGTAAAATTGCAACAAGAGAAAAACGTCTTTATTATTTGAAGATGTTAGGCGAAACTTTGCTTATAATTTTGTTGTAATATAATCGTGGTTTCAAAAACTGAAGGGTATTATATGAAGGTTAATATATATATTATATATATATTTATATATATATAAATAGGCGATTTAGTCCTATTTATACTCGAGCTGACTGTTAGTGCTATAGAAATCGATGTAATAATAATTTGAAGGAGATCGAGGAATTCAACATTGAAAGAGGGCTCTACTAAACGCGATTCCAATAGCTGCAAACAGTATACGAATAAAGACTTTTGCAAGAAGCATTTTAGATTTCACAAAATGGTGAATACATAACATATGTTGTTTATTGGTTCAGTACAACGTTTTTTTGCTAGAAAAGTAAATGACGAAACTGTTTCGTAGTATAACGACAACTCCATTAGGAATATTAACTGATAATACAATAACTATAGTCAAAACAGGTGCAAGTTCTTAATTTTTTCATTAGTTCATTATTTCTTAATGACTTTATATGACACTTGTTGCTAATAAAAATAAAACATTTTTTTTAATTTGATTGTTTTGTCTATATATATTATATATATTGAGTAGGAGATAATTTTCATTTACGTTAGTAATATAAATCTGTATTGTTACTCACATACATATATAATATATATATAACACTTCCACCAAGTTATTGTTCTAAAAGTATGACAAATTCGATAAATATTACTTGAATAAACACTTTACATTCAAGATTGACATATACTGAACAAACCAGCTATCACAATGCTTATATGAGCAGCACCTTCATTATAAAATGACAAAATAAAAATGAATAAATGAAATTTTTAATGTTTTAATAAATTGTACTTGTATGACCACATTTAAAAATCATTGCAGTAAAAATAAGTTTCAACACAATCAAACACATACACACATATATCACCAAGTTATCATACCGATATTTCCAGTCCAAAAACGTATCCAACAGGATATAGTTCATTCACAGGACCAATATAGCGTATGACGCACTTAAAATTAGCCACTTTCTTTTTTAAGATTTCTCCGTTGACATAGACAAAATCATCAACTTTATAGTCCAGTCTATGGTGATATTGATCTGCGTTTCGCAGGAACTGTAAGCGCCGTTTTGGATCCGGTATACATATTATAAATGGCCATAAATAATCAGTTACTAAATGCAAATTTGTATAAGAGCATTCATAGAGATTATCTGCATGAATAGGTTTATTGTGACCATAGTAAAGAACTTCTACAGTGCACATAACTGCACTCTGATTTTTTTCTGATATTGTCCATGTTTGGTGTAATTTAACTGTTGTACCAGCAGAGCGATACAAAGTATTTTCTTCGGGTTTAATACATGGCAGCATTTCTGCACTAAGATGTAATAATAGTGAGGTATCACAATTTAACACAGCATATTTATTTGCAGGTTTCTCCATGATGACCTTTGCCGCTTAAGGTCTTCATACAAGGACAAATATTTTAACTTGTATATTGGAATTTCTAATTTATCGAAGCTTGCATGACTAAAATTAAGATAAAATTATACATAAAATAAAATAAATTAAATTAATATTAAAGAATAATATGCACATTAAAATAAATGACTCACGAACGCGATAAGACTACATAAGCAATAAAGAATAATCGAACGTTATTACTTCTCCAAGTAAGACATTACAGAGGGGATTCCACAATTTATAGCCATTTTTAAAATGCTAAGAAGCTCAACGATAATATATTACTTACAATTCCATTAGTTCTAAAAACTGACTATAGCCGTTTAATTACCATCTAATTACTTTAACGCGACATTTTTTCAAAATGTTTATATTTTTCTTATAAGTACAATAACAAAACAGACCCAATAATAATGACATTTCTAAAGTGAGATGCCACATCAACAAAAATAAGCAGTAAGTCGAAAACATTTGTACAGGAGTCTCTTTACACTGTGCATAATATTATATCGAAGACATTTTGTGTCACATTTCCAAGTATTTTGCTGAAAATAACCTTTTAAACGCTAAAAAAAATTACAAACTGTTTAAATAAAAATTAAAATAAAATAATTTTTTTTATTTTGTGCTGACAAATATATAAACCAACATCTAAATCATAATATCAAATAAATATATTAAAGGAGTTTTTAACTGTTAACAGTAATATAAACTTTTTAATATATTCATTCCATCATAATTAACGTAATAAATGTGCAGCCACAAACGCATAAAATCTGTACAAAATTCGATATTTGAGAAATGTGAACATAGCATTATATTCTCAAATTATTATTAATATTATCGAAGTAACTACAAAATAAATATAAGTTGTATTTATACATTTCATAAAAATCATGTAACGACAATTTTTTTTTTAGTCAACAACATAAATTATGGTTAATATTATTACCCATATCAATTATATTAATATTCATTTAGAAATATAGGAACTGATGATATAATTGCTAATGTTTACATTACACAAATATCGAATCTAAATTAACGATTTTTACATCATTAAAACTCTGAGTTTATACCATAGCGATTCAATTAGCCAATAACAAAAAATAAAAAGATATAGATAAAATCCCCTAAAAATTGTTATAAATTATTATTAATAAATAATATTTAATGTAAAATTTATTTTACAGCAACAAATAATGTAATTTATTTTATTTAATATTTACGAAAATGTGTTTTTTATTGTCATTGAAATTATATTTTTTAATTTATTTTCAGAAGGCAATTATAAGTACGAGGGTGGTTTGATAAGTCAGTGACTTTTTGAATTCCCCGCGCAGTTACTCCAAATGCAACAGTGCTGCCGTCAGCTGTAATCTAGCAGTGGGCAGCTTTTTAATTTTGAGCAATTGACGTCGTTCAGTTGGTGTTTGATAGCCGTTCAAAGCAGACAACCTCGTGAATTTCACCAGTTCTTTAGGTTTGGAAACAGAAAACACTCGCAGGGGGCTAAATCTGGAGAATATGCTGGATGGGGTAGCAGTTCGTATCTCAATTCGTAGATTTTGGCCACAATGCTTAATCAACACACGAAATTCACTTTTTTCCATTTTCGTAAAAATTCACGAGGCTGTCAAAATCAAAAAGTTGCCCACTGGTAGATTACAGCTGACGGCAGCACTGTTGCATTTGGAGTAACTGCCCGGAAAATTCAAAAAGTCACTGTCTTATCAAACCGCCCACGTAGTATTTTGAAATAATTATTATAAACATTTTACTTTGGATTTTGTTTGAAAATCTTCAGGTATTGCTTCACATATATCAAAATAATTGCTAAAATGCGTTAATTGCGATAACATAACATAAACATACTATATATGGTGTATATTTTGTTTGTTATACTTTAAGAAATTAAGGTATCAATAGACCTATTCGGTAGAATTTCACAATTTGGTTTTGTGAAATTACGGCGTTTATGGCTTGAAACCTGAGGCATTAGGCTCATTTCACTAGAAATTTCAATTAAATTAATCGAACATGTAAATTTTACGTCATGATACTTTAATTGACATTTTGATTTTTATAATACGAGGGCTGCTATATATATTTCTGGCTTAATAATGAAAATGGAATATTTATTATCAAAAATTGTTTTACTGTTTTTCAAAGTATTCTCCAGCCTGATTTATACGCTTTTGCATGTGCTCAAACCAATTGTAGAAACACATGATTTTTTAACTATAAAAATAAGTCATTGGGTGCCAAGTCGGGGCTGTACAGCGGATGACCCATCAATTCGTCATTTTGGCTAGTCAAAAAGGCGCTGGTTTGAGCCGATGTGTGAGACCTCGCGTTGTTATGGTCAACAATGATTCGTCTTCTCTTGTTCGTTTTTCGAATTACTCCGAAGACTTCAGACAAACAAATTGTGGTGTACCACTCAGAAGTGACCATCCTTCGTTGCTCAAGCGGAATAGTCGTAGTCGCCACATGACCAGTTTTGCCAAAGAGACAGGCGACCATTTGCTTCGAAGTGCTTCTTCAACGAACAACTTCTTCCACGTCACGAGCCTTTTTTTCAAGCGATTGTCAAATTGTGCGTAATCCAACGAGAACAAACGAATCAATATCGAATGTATTGCATGAACACCGGTGGGAGAAATTCCCAAGGATACCTCTATCTCACGGTATGTCACATGACGATCTTGCATTATCAGTTCACGCACGGCTTCAATGTTCTCTGGCACAACGGTCATTTTTGGATGATCTTCACGGAATTCGTTGTAGAGCGAGCGTTGAATAACAATTCCAATAACAATTCCAGAGTAGTGCGTAGGGAGACAACTATCAAGTTGTTCTTCACTAAGAATTTCTGATGTATTTCTAATAATACATTCAAGGTGATACTTTCCATGTTTAATTGGCATCAGAGCCAAGCTATATGCGCCAAGTCCAAGCACAAATAACGTAATGTATTACAATAAATAGCATTTACTACAATACACGCTTAAGTTGGTAAGTATTTTGGATATATTGATTTATTTCCACTACTGCAGTGGGAAATCTATATTATGTCTGTTCTTTAGTTGGCTGGTAACGTTTATCATAAGAGATATGATATCATTATACAAAAACGAACCTTAATATGCGACGTATTAATAAATATGGATATAGAAATCTGTATCTACACGTAAATAGACAAAAATAAGTAAGTACATTTTTTTATGCCCTTAAATACACCCAACAAAATTTGTTTGCGAATACTTTACCGAAATCGAAGAGAGTTTCCGTGTTGATTTAAAAATATAACTGTAAAGGACACATGGATAACCTAGTGTTCTATGAAAAAGAAAAATCTGACCCATCAGCAAGAAAGTTTATTGGTTTTCTTTTTGGAATGTACTAAGCATGATTATGACAGACTAATTCTAAAAAGACGAAACAAAACAAGACACTAATTAATCGTTTCAGTGGACAAAGGTAATGAGAATAAGAAAACAAACCCAAATTTGCAAAACACAAAAATTTATTTCACCATTTTATACACCAGCTCATTTGTCATAAATTGTTATATTAAATTTGGTGAAATTACATTTCGAGATTCTACTATATGCACCATATTCCCCAGATTGGTTTCCATCTGATTTTATTTACTATTGCATTTAAAAAATTGACTGAATACTACTACATAGTATTGCAAGTAGTACATAAAGCTCAGAAGGTACTGTATCTAAAAATAAATTCAAAAACACAACTCCTTTTGTTCACCACTGAATATGAATTAGCTCTTATAAATCACCACAGGACATATAACTTAATATAGAATTCTTTGAACTCTTCAAATTATTTTGAACAAGCTTGTCACATGTATATCAACACATTAAAGGAAACAATAAAAACGTTTCCTTTAAAACGCATTCTACAATGAAATCTCTTGTTGGATTTTTGGTGATCATTTATTTTTTCTAGATCATACCTTACCGACCCTTGATCCCATAGTTTTATGACAGATTTATTGCATTTTTCAAAGGAATTTTGTGGGGATGTGGCATGCCGCTGAGATATAGCAATTTTCTGCTGTAACTAAATGTTAAAACTGATTATTTCACTAGTCGGTCGCCAGAGCCAAATTAATAAAAACAAGATATACTACTTGAATGGTAAGGGTGACATTTAAACCGCACTAGATAATATCGCATCTGGATGACTATAAAAAGGTTTTATTATAATAATATTTTAATTATTAATTATATCAATTAATTTAATTAATAAAATTAAAGAATAATGAAAATATATAAAGAATTATTCATTTTCGTGACATATATAAAATTTGACGTATTGGCTTCAGTCATCGACTATCAGTCGATCGACTATCGATTTTAGCAAGCGGTGTTGGTATTGAGATTTGATTAAATACTATAAGACATACCATAGGAGACAAGCAAAGTCAAAACAATATATAAAAATGAAATTTTTATTGGAATCTCTATTACAACTGTTATTACAATATACTTTTAATTTTGGAACCATAAAATAGAAGTTATTGTTTCTCTGATCCTAACAACGTTGAAAAGTCTACAATAATCAGGAAACCCATTATAATAATTGTTTTAAAACTGGTAGTTTCTTTTAACTGTTAGGCGTATCTAGGACAAAATATCAATAGTAAATTTTGTCAAAATTAAATGTGTGGGAGATATAGTCAATATTTCCTAAAGTTAAACTAATAATATATAAAATGAAACTGTGGCCATAATCTTTAAGTTATAATTCAAAACCTTGCAAAGTAAAAATAGGAACTTAAGTCATAAGTTTAGTTTTATTGTGATGGACCCGAAAGGTATATTTTACTGTCCCTTCTTTTAGAGTAATAAAATACTTTTTGGTTTTTTTTTAGCGAACAATAATATGTTCAACAAACTCGGAAAAATTAACAATGCTCTGAAAAACTTATTGATCTAAAGTCGATTTTGTTTCTTAAGAAATTTTAGCTTAAACTTTGATCGTTATTTTTTGTATACATCTATACATATTTCGGCAAATTTACTTTTGCTTTCATCAGGAGAATTCCTAATATTGATCTAGTTTAATGCAAAATGTATGTTTAAAATAAAAATAAAAGTTAATTAATGAAAAATGTTTTTGACAATGCTACGTTCTTTGATAATATAATACAGTAGGAATACAAAAGAAATAACATTTAATGAAGCAGCACAATTCCAAATATTAAGTGCTAAACAAAACAATAAAACAACATTTAGTAAACAAACAAACAGCTGATAAATGTTATACGTTGCCAATTACTTTGATTTGTGCTTTATGCCGTTTCAGCAAAGAATATTAAGTTCATTGTTCATTAAGAGTTCTACCATATGTTAACTAACTTATTGAGTTGATGAGGTCATAATCTACTTTGTATGAGAGTAAGCCACTCATTTCATTAGGAAGTATATTATTAAACATTTCTTTAAAATTTGCTAGCAACTAATTTGAACTGTCATATATTTTTTAAGAATATATAATACAAAAAAGGAATTTAGGACAAATATCTGTAAGAAAATCAAGAAACTTGTTCTATATTTCAAGTAATAGTATAATAAGTGTATTCAGACGTTACACGACAACTAAGTAATACTTGGTATTCGGTAAAATGATAAAATCAGTGACAGCTAATTGAAATTCAATTGTCGAAACAACTGATTTAGTTGTCGTTTGGTTTGTTTTGCAAAAAAGAAAAAAGAGACAAGTAAAAGTAAAATTGAATTAATGTTAAAACCTGTTTTTTTATTTAATTTTTCATATTTATTTGTATATATCTATTATTCTACATCTACATTTTCATACATATATTACATTATTCTTTCTTTAAATTTGAAACTCAGTTTACAGTTTTTGCAGTACTGCACAAGAATACAAATCTGCAGATGTTTTACCTTAATTCACCAAAATATTTTACTGCAAAAAATATAAAATATATTTTTTCAATCTGAACATCGAACAGCTTATAATACATTCACACTGTCTCATTTAAGCACTTGCTCATTTATATTAACGAGGAAACGTTTACTTTATAATGAGCTCATTTATGTAGCTAATAACATTTTATAAACCTTTCTAAACTGCATTTAGTAATATGTCACACAAAAAAATTAAATATATTATTATATATATATTATATGTATATTATATATATATATAATATATATTATTAAATCATTTATATACATTTTATGTGTCAATTACATATTTAATTAATAAAAACAAATATTTTTTAAAAACTTTTTTCCTCAGTCCCTTTGCTCAGTCGACATTTTACATATAAAATATATGTACATATTTCAAATTTTGGTTATTTTCGTTCTAGCAAATTCAGTTTTAAGGATTGCTTTATATTTTAAAAGATTTCTGTATGGTAAACCATCCTCATTAGTGGTTATAATGAGCAAAACTTACTAAATGAAACAGTGTGAATGTACACACAAACAAATGCAAAATAATTGCACAATTTTTGCAACAGCTGATGTAAAATTTCAACATGAATATCAATGTATCAACAGATTTCTTCATTAGATCATGTTTTGAAACAAACGACCAATCGTTTCCACCGATATATATGACATATGACAAGTATTTCAAATTTAGGTTTTCCCTTATGGGATATTTATTTTTAGAGGTTGCATTCGACAGCTTTATATGAAAGCTCTTTGTACGGTAAATTTACTCATTAACTGCCTAAATGAGACATGTGAAAACATAGTATTATCCATAAATGGTATGCACGGCTTCTTATAACTGAAACGTAATAGAATAACATAAAACTGATAAAAAACTGAAAAGGCCAATAATATTTTGACTTCTTTTTTGTTTTTTTTTTTTGTGATCAACGCCCAACATAGAAAATTTTCTACTTGATCATAAAAAAAATTTTAATTTGTTCTAGATTTATATTTTATAATACTTTTACTACATACTATAAGCTCTGTCCAACTTCCAAGGACAGAAATCGTCCAAGTAAGATTTCTAGTCACAGGGCTGACAATAAGAATTTTAGTATTTCTAAACAGGACCCCTTGCAAGTGATCTAGTTTCTTTCCAAATTTTTTCCGATTGGATTTCTATGAGTCGCTCTATCAAAAACTCTCTAATGATTTTCACTTTTAAATTTAACTGTTAATTTTTCTCATTAGGTAAGGAAACATCATATAAAAAAGATAATGTAGCTAAGAACGAGAATATTGTATTGATGGCGAATATATAATAAATTATAATTTAATAAATGAACTAAATTTAATTTATTAATAGCGTTACATATATCTATTTTTAAAGTGGCTTATAGATTAAAATATACCACATATATCATATTCAGTAATAAGTTGTAATACCTGTTGAAGAAATGCGGTATTTAACTACAATCATGTCAGAGTCCATTGGTAACAAATTTAAGCTTGCATTTGGCTTTGAAATATAGGGTATAAGTATTTTATATTTTTTGTGTACACTCCTTTGGTTTAGAAAATTTATTGCACCATATTGGTGTATATAATTGTGTAAAACTTTAAAATAATTTTATAATAAAAATAAATGGAAGATTTTTAATACACGACTTTCATTTATTGCAAGTTATGAAAGTATTATATATTGCTTTGTAGCAATATTATATACTTTGTTATTAATTTTCTTTTTTTATTTAAATACAAACCGACACGCTTTTTTACGCATGTAACACAAACCACAAACTTTTGTATCAAATTTAAGAACAAATGTTGGCATATCAGTTATTTCATATTATATGTCGCGGGCATGAAAATATTCAACCTTGTCTTTTAATGGCAATAAATTTAATGTGGCAATAACTCTACAACAATAATCGCATGATGTTTTTTGTCATTATTAAAAAAAATGAGACTGATGATTAAAACTTTAAAAATATTGTAATAGTTATTATCTTTATTATTATTATCTTTATTTTGATTGATGATATGTTAATTAAAATTAGTATGTATTTTTTAAATTGATTTATAATTTGGCGTTTGATGTAATGTGTGTATAATGGAATTAGTTACACCTATATGGATAAGGTGGCAAGCCTATTACTTTTCTCTAGTCAGCTGATTACATTTATTTGCCTTATAATTTTTCGACATAATAAATATTCATGTGTTAGTATATATATAAGCATTAAAGGAGTGTGTTGCCTATGTCGTGTGTTTTATTTACAAATATTGGCTGTGGTGGCGTCTAATTTCATTGGATAAAGTATGTGTCACTAGTGACTCATATTTTGTTTTCGTTATTTTTTTACACATAATTTGTTTATACAGTGATTATTAAATTTGAATATTATATAAATTATAGAAAAGGGAGTAATTCTCAAACAAGTAACTTTAATACGTAGCGGCAACCCTATTTAAGCAGCACAATCCTGTGCATTTTTAAGTGACAAAAAGTATAAAATAATTTTAAGCAGAGAGGCAACGCTGCGGCAGAGCAGGAATGTATTCAGTGACGAAACTGTTAGCACCATAGTAGAAACGTATAAGTTAAAAACATTCGGTAGATGAAAGCTAAGAAGTGTATTTTCCGGTTAATAGATCAATAAAATATACAACATTAATTTTACAATTTATTTATAAATTCAATCGGTGTAGCGCATTTTTGTCAATACGGTTTCTAAATTTGGACAAAAGCACAAATCAAGGGTGTTTCCTGTGAATATTGCAAACAGCAGCCAACACCTTTCACCACCTCTCACACTTTATTCAATCCTCTCACTATCATTCGGATACCTGTTGGCACATCAGACGGAATTGATTGTAGTTGCAATTTGATAGTTTTTATAACTTGAAGCATTTATTTAATTTAGTGTTAAGCGTGCATTCACATATATAGACCTTAACAATTAAGGATCTACTTTGACTCTGCCTACGTGCTGCAAGTCAATCATAGAACGATGGCGGAAGCAAACGCAGCAACAACAGCTGCTTCACAATCTTCCAGTAGAAACGGCACCGCTGGAAATACTGTGGCATCAGCGACAGCTGTACCAGTGGCCGCTGTGTCAGCTGCAGCTGCAAATCCCAATGCGGAAGTAATACGAGGACAATTATTTGAGGTATCTATAATATATATATATAAACCAATTATTTCATTTTATTAACAAATACGTTTATTTTATTAGGTCGGACCTCGCTACAGGGACCTAACATATATTGGCGAGGGTGCATATGGTATGGTCGTGTAAGTATTAAATGGGTGTGTTCAAATGCAAGAAAAAAGCAAAACATTAAAATACACAAAAAATATCAAATTATGTATTTTCTGCGCGAAATTATTGTCAATTGTTAATTGTAAACAATAAAATGCTAACAACTTAGCAAAACCACCGGCAGCTCAAAAATAACGAAAATTCGTGCATTGATTTTTCAAAAAAGCACTGCGTGCACACAGCTGTGTCACATATAAGTAAACTTTAACTAAAATTTGTTCATCACAAGTGGATAATATTTGTTGAAAATTTTACATTTATTCATATTCTAATAAGAACAAATTATTTGGTCTATATTATAAGACAAAACGCTCCATTAGGCCGGTATACTAATTTAGTGATATACAACACTACGCATGCTATGAAGTAATTTTTCTGATTGTGTGTGCATGTCCTTTTATTTATTAATATATTTCATATAAATAATATTAATAGTATGACTAAATGAAATATATCTCTTGTATATTTTTAAATTAAATTTGGAAAACAATTTTATATTCAATATGCGACGATATAAATTTTTCTTTTTATATATAAATAAATTACTTCGTGAAAAAATGCTACAAAATTCAACCAATATTTAATATCTTTACATAGTATAATAATTTATTATAATATATTAAAATTAAACATCAGTGTTGGTTTTATTTGTTTTCTCTATATTGATTTATAAGTTTATATAAATAATGTATAAACATATGTTTCAGTTAAAAAACATACCTACGTTAATGCAACATAAGTGTCAGTCACCATATAAACCAATGATTTTCTAATAGATTTGAATTCTTTTTTTGTATTAAAAAAAATTTTTTTTTTTAATTAATTGGAATTACGATAAATTTATAAAGTACAACTGTTATGCTTAACGCTGCATTTACGAAACCACGTATTGATCTGATAAATCTATAGAATCTTTACAGACATGTTAAAACGTTACACATTACTTAAGAAACGTGTGACATTCGCGAATTTCAAGAGAGCCCCCCAAAACTGTTATAATGAATTTCCATAAAAAATAATAATGACGCAATATCAAAATACAATGTTGTAAAATGTTGTTGTAACCCACGGGGACCTGTTTGTGAAATTCCTTTGGAGGGCATTGAACGGCATTTGGTTGTCGAAATTGACGAGTGGTTCTGACACGTAGACCTGACTGTGCTTGGAACCAATGTGAATGTGAATATACAATATATTTTATTGTATATTGTAAAATGTAATATATTGTTGTTCAATGGTCCCTCTTATAACTTTATAAAATTACACTTTCGCTTTGAGTATTTAAAATTGAGTTAGATTTTTTTGTTAAATGTGGACAATAACATAAAGACTACTTCAAAGTTCTTTAGCAATAAAGTTTAGAATACGAAGTAAGAGCTGAAATGAATTATACTTTCTAAGAAAAATTATAACCTATAAGTTATTGTAATCTTGTATAAAATAAAATATACATAAACATATAATTAATATATATATTAAATAATAAAATTCAATTACAGATCCGCTTTAGATACTTTAACAAATACGAGAGTTGCTATTAAAAAGATATCACCATTTGAGCATCAGACATATTGCCAGCGAACTTTACGCGAAATTAAAATCTTAACACGTTTCAGGCATGAAAACGTAATTATTCTTTTACTTATTAGCTTGAAATATTCACTATTACTATCCTTTATAAAAATAGATTATTGATATAAGAGATATATTGCGCGTGGATAGCATAGAGCAAATGAGGGATGTATATATTGTACAGTGCTTAATGGAGACTGATCTTTATAAACTACTCAAAACTCAGGTGAGTTTTAAATTTTTTACTGTCATAAACATAAGCAATATTTTATTTCTTACAGAGGCTAAGCAATGATCATATATGCTATTTTCTGTATCAAATTTTGCGTGGTTTAAAATATATTCACTCAGCAAACGTTCTGCATCGTGATTTAAAACCCAGTAATCTTTTGTTAAATACAACTTGTGATCTTAAGGTATTCAAATATACTATAGCTTTGTGCGTAAACATTTTAATATATTTATAATTTGTTTATTCTATATAGATATGCGATTTCGGTTTGGCACGAGTTGCCGATCCTGAACACGATCACACGGGCTTCCTTACGGAATATGTTGCCACTCGGTGGTACCGAGCACCGGAGATTATGCTCAATTCAAAGGGATACACAAAATCCATAGATATATGGTCAGTGGGTTGCATTTTAGCAGAAATGCTTAGTAATCGGCCTATATTTCCTGGAAAACACTACCTGGATCAGTTAAATCATATATTGGGTGTTTTAGGGTCACCTTCTAAAGAAGATTTAGAATGTATTATAAATGAAAAGGTTCGTATGTCAATATTTTCTTATTGTATATTTCACATAAGCTATTATTTTTTATGACTAAAAGTCATAAAAAAATTAAATTAACAAAATAATAACATTTGCGAATTACAAAAAAATATAGTGAAGTATGTCAATATATATATTAACTTTGCTGTATTATATATACTCAGTATGTCTTAATGACATTAAGTGCTACTTATATAATATGTGTGTGTAATATTTATAGTTGTAACAACACAAGTGTTCAGAAAATATTTCAGCTCTTATCGTAAATCTGAATGTTTTAACGAAGTTATGGCAATGAAAATAAATTACTTACAAAAAATGGTTAAACATATTTGACATTCATTTTTATAATTAAACTCTTACGTATGAGTCATTAATATTAATTTTTACTTCAGTTTCATTTTATATAGAAACAATATTTATTAGTAAAAACAATAAAATTCTTGATTTTTTCTTAACAGGCACGCAATTATTTAGAATCATTGCCGTTTAAACCAAAGGTGCCATGGTCACGGCTGTTTCCTACTGCTGATCCACTTGCACTAGATTTACTTGGTAAGATGTTAACATTTAATCCTCATAACCGAATACCTGTTGAAGAAGCATTGGCGCATCCTTATTTGGAGCAGTATTATGATCCTGGTGATGAGGTAATTTATATAATTATAATATAACAATATAGATATAACACATTATATATGATTATTTACATATATAGATATGTGTATAAATGATGTATTGATAAGTTTTATAAGTAGACTAGTAGTAGTTTATATTCCGTTTATATTCCAATGCTGAAAATTGCGTTGCACTTTTTAATTTTGTTCCTTAAAGAATTAATTGAACATTACAAATTATTCAAGATATTCGTTAAATTGAATTAGTCCAATAAACAAAGCAAGATAATTAGTTTTTTAAATTCTTTAGTTCAGTTGCAAAGAAAAAAAGCTGTTTTACAAATAAAATGTTTTTTTGAATAGTAGTGAATTGCAACAACAAAATTTTTAATAAAGTTTTAATTTTAATAAAGTAAATTTTTGCAGCTGTTTTGGTTATTGGTAAATACTCATCATTAGTGATATTTTAAAATATTCGTTGGTTTTACTTATAAAACCAAATAAAATTGTTGGACTACAAGTGTCTGACTTAGAATTCTGAACCTGTCACGCTTCAAATGACTAGCGCTGTTATTAACCGAACGAATCAAAGCTGAACAAAATGTTCGTTGTTGAAATTTTACATATTTTCTGAGTTTTTTTTTCTGATTTCTCAGAAGATAACAAATAAACCTTTGTCTTGTTTTTAATTTTGGAGCAAACCTATAATCCATAGCTTATGAAAATTATAATTACTATTAAAATTACTATTACTATTTTTTAATTGCTAAAGCTTCAGTACTATTCTTTTCGTAGAGAATTTAATTTTTAATAAATATATATATTATATAATATAATATATTATTTTTTAAAACTTAACTTTTCTTGTAAAATAAGATGGTTTTGGTCTTTTGAATATTATTTTCTTTGGGTAATTATATAGAAATTTTATTAGTTTTGTATGAAGCAAAGGTCTTAAAATAGAGAAATAGTTTTGTGACGCGTTATTCGTCATCAAAAGTTTTTAATAGTTCTCTCGCACCCATAAATTATTTAGTTTTTAATATATCTACTAAAGTTACTTTGATAACAAAGAATTCATTTTGAAAATTATATTTCACAATTTATTTAAATATATGAATATTATAATAATGCACATTGTTTTATTATATAGAATAATATAATTTACAATACCTTTTATTTATATAAATCTAATAAATATATTTATATTTATAAATATATATAATAAAAATTTTTCTATATTATTTAAATTATTTAAATTGAATTTAACTAATATTTTGGTTTGCTTTTTTAAATTACATCAATAATTAATATAATCATCAATCATATTGGTTCCAGAATGTATAAACTAGTGGATATTTGATATACAGTAGTTAATCTAGATATTCTTTTTAATCTTTCTTTTAGGTTAATTTTTTCATTAATCTAAATTTGTTCATTTGTGTGTTATATTTTCATCACATTTAATTATATATAGTTCTAATTGTGCAATTTTTATATTTCCATTTAGTTATACATAGTTCTAATTGTGCAGTTTTTGTTTTTATTTTTACCTATATACTTATCAGTTTGCAGATGGTGATAAAGTATTCCATCAGATAGATTATAGTCTGTAAGACTAAGTATATACCTTTTTGTTTTGGCATATCTCACATAAACCGTGACAATAGATCGTATGTATGGGTCAATAACCATTTATGAAGCCATGACAGTGACAAAGCCATGGCAGGTTTTTCCCATTGTGGAATCAAGTTCTTGCCTTACTTATATAATTTTTATATAATTGATACTTATATATATCACAACCTTCTAAAATTGTTGCTGTTGTTGTTGTAGCTCACACGAATTTATAAAGCAGATAATTTGAAACGAATTAAAAAGGGATACACATGGGTTAGGATGTGGATAGATAATGGTAGTGTGGCAAGAATAGGTTTGAGGATAGATGGGATTTAAATTAAAGTCCACTTCAATGGGGCGAGTTCAAGAATCACTTGGACTAAATTTAGTGTGCCTAGAATAAACAGGGTAACAGCGCCCAACGAAGCAGAGCACTACAACCATAGTTGATCTTTTGTGCTGCCTAATTATCTCTCAAATATTTGGTTATAAAAATATTCCTCTACCACTCACGATCGAAATGATTTTATCTAATCGTCCTTTGAAGATCAGTACTTCTTTTTTCAAAAATGCACACATTTATTCTTAGTACTAATATACAGTGGGTAATTTGTGCGTTGTTGTTGAAAAAAAAGCAAACGACGATTTTATTTTATTTCGGATAATCAATATAAAAGAGTATAAGAATAGAACCACTAACTGGAAAAAATTAGAAGAATAAAAATAATAGCAATTATGAAAGAAACAGAACAACCATAAAACCATTGTAATTTTTTTGTTAACAACTTAATATATATTTATATAATTAATTAAAAATTAAAAAAAATATTGAATATTTTAGGTTTATAAGTATTTATTAATGTTATATATCTGTATTTTTACAACATGAAACAAGTTTGATTATTCGTAAATTAATTGTATTTATTATATTTAATTCTAAAATATAAATAAACTTTATTTTAACAAGGCTTAAAATCGGTTATTTAACAGTTAAATAATTAATGAGTGATATAAATTTTTGTTAAAATTTTTAATATATTATTCAATATGAAATAAATTCAAATTATTAAATTAATATAAAATAATTTTTGTTGTTGTAGTTCACTACTTTTCGAAACTTCTTTACCAATATATTATTAAAATATATTTATCATATAAATGCTTTGCAATGAAACGCGCAAATTGGTCAATAGTTAAATAATATTATTTTTAAGAAAAATTTTGTTTTTAAAAAATTCTTTTTATTTAAACCAATATTTCGAGTATATATTCTATAGTCATCTTCAGGATACAAATATTTTTTTTAAAATATATTCGTAATTTTAATAAAATTAGTGTAACTTATCAACAATTTAAGTGTTAAATAAACGACCTTAAGCCCGGTTAAAATAAAATTTATTAATTTTAATATAGTTATATTTGATCGTAATATATTATGAATATAAAAATTGTAATAATGTTTTTTTATTTCCATATGTCAGCCCGTCGCTGAGGTGCCTTTTAGAATTGGCATGGAACTAGATGATCTTCCAAGAGAGACACTAAAAACTCTCATATTTGAAGAAACGCTTAAGTTTAAAGAACGACAACCGGATCAGGCAGTGTAAATGTTTTGCTGTTTCGCAAGCTTTTTATTTAAATACATTTTTTAATTTTATCGTTTTTATTTTTTCAATATTATTCAATAATATTTTATTGTTTATTGTAATTTTAAAAATATCATGAAAAAGTAAAAGTATCAGGAATTTGTTGTTTTGTAATATTTATTCTACGTAAACAATAGAAAAAATATATAAATATGGATGAGATATCAAGATATTTTTAAGATTATAAACAAGAAATATTTAAGTATTTTTCATGTTTCTCTGTGTTATAAGGTTTTTATCTTCTTTTTTGTACACAGTCTAACTATGTGAGCATCAAGTTTGATTAGCAATTATACTTAAAAGATTTTGGTTAAAATATTATTTAAGCAAACGTTATACGTTTAGAGAACTTTTTTGATTTTGGTAAGGCACATATATGTAAACGCAATATGCATGAGAACTATATTATATAAATTTGTGCATATGTTGTGTAGTGAATTCAAATCGATTTTATGTATGAAATGTTTAATTGAACTATATTTTCTTAATGCACCATTTTTCTCTTAATTATATATAAGCGAACATGTTGTAATATATATGCAAATATCTGTCGTCAAAGTGACATTGATAATTGCATTTGCGACAGACGAGAGATAATTAGAGCAATTTATATTTAGTAGTAATAACTTATATCTATCGTATATCATATGTAATAGTATCTAAAATAAAAAAAAACTTACCTTAAGGCAGTGCAGTCAATTATTTCAATTTTTAATATTATTTCTTAGACAATTAAATAAATAAAAATAAAATAGGTAAATTTTCTGAAGAAAATTTGCCGAAAAAAAGTTTAATAAGTTAAGTCCCTAGCATATTAAACCAAACTAATGTTTGCATTCAATTTGATCTTCTAATCAATCGGTGTGTTCAGCCTTTATTTATTTTTAAGCTGGAAACATTTTAAATGATATATTTGAAATATTTGTACATAATTTGAAGCGACTTGTAAGAGAATGTTTACATTTTTAATATTTTTTTAAAAAAACACTACGTGTTTGTATTATTTGTTAACTATAAATTTCGATGTATATTTGCTCAATGATCTCTCGTAATAATAACATTAAATTAATATATCGTATAATTTAATCTTCTGTAAGTATTATATTTGTGTATATATTCCAAAATGCTTAGAATTATGATCTTCAACAAAATAAGAAAATAAAAGAATTGATTGTATTTTTTAATTACCATATATTACCTTATAATTGTATTTTGTAAAAATTTGAAACATTTTTTTAATAGTAGTATTTTAAAATGTATTCGTTAATAATTGTTTAATGAAAAAAAATGTTATCAATATTGACTACATACATGTATACATACTTCGAAATTAACTTAAACACAATTGATCTATATTTAACACTTTAATCCTATCAAACTAACTAATCACAATTCCTAATTATTATTTTACTCAATATATCACGATATTAGGCCTGTCTAGCCTAACTGGCACTTTAACCTGATCTACACGCCCAATCTCCTTATTTAAACTTACATATGCACTATATTTTTATGTATTTATAATGACATATCTAAATTGTTAAGTATATAAAAACTTTTTTGAAAATTTGATGTATATTATATTCGTGAATTAAAATTACTAATTTAAATCAATCAGATAACGATACGAAAGCTCGCAATTGTCACGATGAATATCTATTGTTATTGTAAATCGTCTTCGGAGGGATCCAGAGTTGAGTGGTTCTGGCTGCTCATAGAAGCATAAATGACTTTTACCTAACTTTTACTCTATAGTAGTGTTTTCTTTTTTAACCCAATACGTATTTTGAATCGGAAAAATATTCAATGTGCTTTGCAAATACATTCCATGTGTTTTTCAATATTTCCCTAAAAAATAATATCGCTAAAAATAAAATACTTTAGGGTGCTAATGCAATGGCGGTAGCATCTCAATAGGCGTTTGAGAAACGCTGCTCTATACAATATATTAACTGTTATCAGTCTTCATTAATTTTCAAAAAATTGATATCATACTTCTATTTTGCATATCAACACTTTCCTGGTTGTGCATTGTTAAAAATAGTTTGATGAAGCAAATATGTACTTGTAATATGTATACTTATAGTATGATCCGTATTCAAGCTTTTTGTCTGATTAAACCTAACGAACATAGAAACGACCCGTTTTCAGAAATCTTTCTTTCAAATTTTTGAAACTATGCAAGAACTGTACCTCACGCTTAAAAGAAAGTGTTACGTCTGTGGAAGTGATTTATTATCTATCTTTGAAATTCGTGATTAACTAACGGAATTGCAATGATTCCGTTTTTTTTCGAGACAGTTCTGCTGTTCGTGATGTTGTGCTATATTACAGCACTCTTTTTTTGAATTATTAGTATTTTATTTCAAATAGTGTATGAAAGCAAGCAAAAAAAAAAGTATGGGATGGTGTTAGGGATGATGCTCTGATTTGAAATTGTCTTGTTTTAACTGATAGAAATCTGGTCGTCTTTAGTCTGCAAATAAATATAAAGCTTAGTTGGTATCCATACATATGACCGTCTGTTAAAGTTTTAACCTGCTTTTGCAGAGAAGTACTTTACTAGGAAGAAGTACCCAATTTTCGTGTTGCTAAGTATGGAAATCGTTTTCAAAATGTCTTAAAATTTTTGATTTACACTTACAACATCACTCCATTCATATGACCGTCTTTCAAAGTTTTAACCTGCTTTTGCAGGGAAGTACTTTACTGGGAAGAAGTATCCAAGTGGTTCGAGTGGTTCAGTTTGTTTTCACATTGTCTTAATTTTTCTTAATCGCCTTGAATGAGAGATGTCGGAACGAAATATAATAAATGTTAGTAAATTATTACTTAAAGGACATATTTCAAGAAATTTATTCATATCAATTTGTAAAGAGAACTGAAATTTTGTTTAATTTATGCTTTTTTAATTCCTTTTGTGCATTAAGAATGCTATGGGTGAAGCTGATTAAACAAGACCACGCATAGACCTGTTAGGTCCGTAGCGATAAACATTGCTGTAGTTGTATGTAAGATTTTTTAGTATATAATAATTTTTGATCTGTCAATTTATTAATCTATATAATTAATTTTCTTCGGAAAAAGAGTTCAAAATACATATCGTAGATATTCGAAAATTAATTTAAACATTGTGCTTCCAAAACTTGCATCCCCATTGAAAACATGAAATTGATTTGCAAGAAAAACAAAATTCTCACAGAGATATATGCAGATTTTGACAAAAAAAAATTTCATATTCTATCAGAAAATACATACCTTAGAAGTTAAATTAAGTTTTTTTTATCTTTATTCCTCATTATACATACTATAACAAAAATACTACAACAACAAATGAGATTTTATCTATCTTATTTCAACACGATATCTCGTAAAAGCTTTTTTGAGATTTTATCGAAGTCAAAAATCTTTATTCAAAGGTTTTTAAAGAAATTTTTAACTCCAAAGGTACTTTCATTTCCAATTCTTTTTAAAGAAATTAGTACTCTCATTTCCAGTTCGAAATTAATTATTTTTCCGAATTTCGTTTTTTCTTCTTCTAGGCTTTGCTTTGATTGTCACTTATTGTTCTTAAAACTTGAACATTGACTACATGGCTGAGTGAAGTAAAGGGGTTCACTTCGTAGTTAATACGATTTTAATGTATGACTTTATTACTTTAAATATTGTTATTAATACATTTATTCATTAGATGACTTAAAACTAAAAAACTTTAATATAAATGACTAAAGTTAGAATATATTAATTTCTAAATTTAAATTATGGTGAAGAAAAATGCTTAAAATTAATTTTCATAAAATATTCAATCATTTAAATGATTCAGCTCTCAAAACCCTTTTAATAAATTTAACTCGTATTTAGTAATTGTTGTTGTAACCCAAACAGGAAACTAACTTTTTGTGTCCCTGTTAGGAGGGGTGAGCAGTACTTGATCGTTTATTGGAACCTTAAATCATTGCAGAGATGTTTAATTTAAATGGAATAAAAAACATTTGTTTTTTCTGTTATAATATATAATATTATATTATAATCTTTGTTATTTCGTATTGAAAGAATATATTAATGTTAATATGCTTTATTCATCAAGTCCTCAATTAAGGTGACATGCTTGTTCGTATATATCTTCTCTCTTGTTTCGACGAATTGATCTTTATGGTTTTAAAGTTATTTTACTGAATAATTAAAAGTTGAAAGTTTGATAACAAGCCTTGCTCCATTTCGAGTTGATTATTCCAGTGCAATATCTCTGGGTCACACTAATCTAAATATTCACATCGTTTACACTTCTTTATTGTATGTCCGCTTTAAAAGGATTTTTCGAAGTTTTCAGTGACCTACCTCTGTTGTGCTTATTTGTTGTATGCAGTTAGTTATAGATTACAGTCATATTGTTAAAAGAGTAAAAGTAACTTCCTTATAAAAAATATTTTTGTTTTTTGGACCCCCAAAATTAACTACAACAAGAGCTTTCGTATATAATTTTTTTAAATTTTTTATTTTGTATACCCATATTGTTAATACCATAAAATTATATAATACAAATAATAGGATGCCTTAACACAAACATAAATATTTAATAAACACACTACATACATACACATATATAGATATATAACCCAAAAAATGGATCTTAAACCTCAAACAGTCAAAGTAGTTTTTAATAATTATAAAAAAAAAAAAGAATCAATTAGAAAAAGAATGTCATTGCATTAGAATCTATCATCGAGTTATAAATTTTTTTAATTAAATTAAAAGAACAGAGTAATTATAAATAAATAGTATATATAATATATAATAAATAAAAATGTTTTCCTCGGTACTTTCGTACATTGTCATGTTAATTAAGAAAGCTAGTGGCGCATTTAAATTGGAATTAGTCTAATTAATGTTTTACTCTTGAGATATTTACAAAATTGATATAAATTTTACGATCTTAGTGTTATTAATATCATTATTATAATTATAATTATTATAACTGAAATATATAAATGAAAAATTTTAAATTTTACTTGTATTTATTAATGTGTTTGTCTAAATGCAAAGTTTATATATTTAAAATATAATTAAAAGAATTGCGAGATAATAAAAAAGAAGATAAAGAGAAAGATATAAAGATAAAGATAATGAAGATGAAGATGAAGAAGAAGCAACTTTATAAATTGTATTTAGATTTTACTATAAATATATTTATTATTAAGTCTTATTCGGGTTTGTCACTTAAATAAATGTATTTCAATTCCATAAAAAGTAAATTTTAAAAACTTTAAGTAAAGAGCAATCAAGAAATATTGTGAATGTTTTCTAAATGTATGTGTGTTTTTTTGTAATTATAATTATTTGAATAATAACATTGAACTAAAAAATGTTTTTATTTTTGCCAAAAATGTTTTTTAAATGTATTCATTAAATTTTACTAGAATTTTATGATAAATAACTCAATGTTAATATTTCTTATCGATGTTTTTAATTAATTAATATTGTTGTTTTAAATAGATATAATTTGCAAACCTCGTACTTAAACAAAAATAAATATTAATAAATCGAATTACATAAACCGCAACGACGACAACATCAAACAAAACACAAAACATTCTTGTTTAATCTCTCGTTAAAAAATTAACACTAAAAGTTGTAACTTTATTCTAAGAAAATCCCTTAT